TTTTTTTTTTTTTTTTTTTTTTTTAGTATTCAAATTCAAATTCTTTCTCTACCTAGAAAAGCTGCAGAATGATTCCATAGAAGACCTATTTATTAATTTCCCATTCATTTTTATTTTCCAAAGAACAATCATTAATTTCCTTTGTAATCTAAATGTTGTTTGTTATTAGTTGACTTCTGAAACCTAAGAAAAATATCTCATTTTATTGCAAAAGATAATATCACATTTAAAGAACCTAGAAATTTACAAAACATACATTAGATAATACAGTTCATTAGGAAGATGTTTTATATCTAAGCTAGCATAAATACTAAGTATGGTGACTTTTTTAAAAGAGCTATAGTGCACAAAACTGTAAAAAGCCCTACATGAACTGCTGTTACATGATGGAGAGAAATCAATTATTTTATTCTTACATTCTGAATTTTTGAAGAAAGTTGAGTCCATAAAACAGCAATTTCAGATAGAGTGATTTTGGAATATGCCATGTTCTGTGCAATGTTGTATAAATACCATATTGTAGTTGTCATTTAAATGTCTTTCATAGAAGCTTACAATATTTTGTATGCAAATGCTGTGACGTAGCTGTGGTTTGGTTTTTTGTTGTTGTTGTTGGTTTGTGTCTTCAGTGATTATTTTTTAAAAAAAAAACTTTATTTAAGAGTGTGTTTAGATTTCTAACCTTTATTTCCTACTCTGGGAGCAGGTTTTAGGCATTACACCATAATTTTCTAAATCAGAGAAATTTTTATAGCCAATACTATTACCTTCTAACAATACCAATTTCTATTGCTTTTTCAGTCTTGACATCATCAATTGCATAGTGTGTATCTGGTAATTTTCTATATGAAATAGTAATGAATTACTAAAATATTTTTAAAATATTAAATAATAGAAGAAAAAAAAATGTTTACATATTAGATTTTCACATCGGTTAGATTGTCCAGTTATGCTTTACAAAGCTATTAGATTTTAAGTATTTCGTGTTGCTAGGATATACAAATTTCTGTTAAATCTAAATAAAACATATAGCAACTAAACAATCTTACCCTCTTGCTGTGGCTGATGCATACCATGACTGACTCTTTCCCTCTGTTACCTTTTAATGTAACAGATTACCTTTGATCCAATGTTGTCTTTAAAATTTTACATAGAAAGCCTATTGCATGTGACGTACTGTAGAGAAGACTGGGTATAATAACGTCTTGCATTTGGTGAGTGTGGGTTTATTGTGAAATTATGATGCTTATTCTTTTGTAGGAATAATTTACTTCTGTCCTACTTCTACTTTGTTTTCAGTTGAACTATTGCATGGTTTTGGTCATGGTAGTCAGAGCCTTCTGCAATAAAAAGGAGAGAGTTCTGTCTTTTTTTCAGATGTCTTTTGTTTGGATTTTAAATATCTATTTTAGAACTTGGCTGACTGTTGCTACTACTGCTGACAAAAAAAAACCCCATTTCTTTTGTTCTACTGAAGTCCTGAAGTAGAGAACTCTAGCAGCAAACTTTCTGAAGGACACTGCTTTAGCAGCGCTGTAATTTCGTGTTTTCTTTCAAGGTAAAACAGATGTTTTGAAGGGTCTGAATTGGAAAACACTGAACAGAGGGTAGGCTGAAAGAATGTTCTTAAATTGCAGCAATGGGAGCTGAGGGTCAGCTGGCCTAGATACCTGAAGTGTTTCCCTATTGCTGAGTGTGCATGTGTTAAAAAGAGAATTCCATATCCATATATGGATAATCCGTACTTTACTGATTGAGACACAATTGGAAAACACTGACTGAGAAATATGGAAAGCAAAGGCTGTTTTTGATTGGGAGATTAAGTATTAAAAATTGTGTACAGTTCTGAATTCCATCAAGACATGAAAATGTAAAACCTATAAATGTTTAAATCAGTGTTGGATTTTCAGAAGCATTGGTGTTTCCTCAGATCATAAGAAAGACTTAGAGCCTTCCTTATAACTGTCTTTGGTCGGCCTCTTAAACTAGAGTATTTCTGTTCTTGCATAGTTTTGCTGTCCCCAGGAATTGATCGGTGCAGTGTGATGAACCAAAATACTGTGTTTTGTTTAAATTGAATAATGTGGACTCTTTGAAAATATATTGAAGGCATCATACCCATTATGTATGCAAAACCAAAATCAGACAGGTTAAAATGATTTTTTTTCTGCTGATTAACAAAAAGAAACACAAAAAGATTGCTTTCATATAATAACAAATTGCTGAAAATTAGTTTACTACAGAAAAAAAAATTACTGGTTTTGCTAGTGTTATGCCTGTTAGTATTGCTTATTATTATACCTTTACCACAGAGGATATTAATTTTAAAATGTTATTTTAATACACAAGAAACATTTACACACTAATAAAACTTTCATTATATCAGAGACAAATGCAAAATAGGAATGCGGATGTCATACCAGCATAAGCAGTACACGTATTTCAGTGTAATATAATGATGTGTTCTGATATAATAATTTAATTCTTACCTTTGTTGTACCCACAAATTATTACTGAAGAGCTTTTCTGTCTCACCAATGGCATCTTTTTTGCTAGTAAAAATTATATAAGGCTTTTCCTCTGAAAAGCCTCTAAAATAATGATAATTTTGTGCTTGTCATTTCTACACTGATTGAATTTAACATGGAAATATTTTTTTAAAGTGTTAGTCCTTTGGAATTTTGATAAATAAAGCCATGTCACATAGCATACTCCATTTGAAATGAAGACAAGTTTTGTAAAAAACCTTAGTTCTTCCAGACAAAATTCTTCTGTGAAAAATTGTTTTTAATGTGTTTTTAAATGTGTAGTTAAACCCAAGAATTTAAGGAACACAGAAGTGTATAGAAAATGTACATAAATTTTTAACTAACATTGCAAAATTAATACAATATGATTTAGAAAAATAGGATCCAGTGGTTAATCCCTGGATTACCCTGGCACCATTGGAACTAATTAACCGGAGTCACTTCTAAGAAAAGTCTGCAGTACATTCCACTAAACATAAAATACATTATTTGGGCTTTACAGTGTGCCCTTTAAACTTGCTTTGCAAAACCTTTTCCCCTCTGCCCCCCATCTGAAAGGTGATTGTGTTTTCATGATCAAAGTAATAATATCATCGACCCTAAACTGGGTTACATGGGCATACCCTGTGCTAGCTGATTATTCAGCTGTTTTGAAGAAAGGAACTACCTGCATTGACACATGCTAAAATCATTTCAGCAAGTAAAATTTTTTTATATAATACAGATAGGTTCATTAAATATTGGTTTTATGATCAATTTTGTTTCATATATCAACTTATATCTTAAGGCCAAAAAACTCGCATCTTGGGATATTTTGGTATAGTGATTCAGATCTTAAATGGACAAAATGGGCACGTGGTTTAGAAGGACAGTAGCTGAAGTTGTTAATCCCCCCTATTCAGTAATTGCATGATGACATCTGAGGCATTGTGTCCAGTTTTAGGCTTCCAGGTAGATGAAAGTCACCAATTTACTGGAGAGTGACCACCAAGATGACTGTGGGCTGCAGCACATGACATGTAAACAGAAGCAGTGAAAATTGGTTTTGTTGTCTTCAAGAAGTGAAGGCTTTGGAGAGAGGTCTTATTATCTGTCTAATTCTTCTTGAAGGTGTATTTGGATAAGGCAAGATGTAATGGGCACGAGTTACAACATAGGAAATTCAGGCTAGATGTTAAGAAAAAATTTGGAAAATTTGGGGGAAAAACTTGCCCCAAGTGATTATGGATTCATGTATTTGGAGATACTTGAAACTCAAGTTCACCTATTGGACCTTGCTTGATTAGGGGCTTAAAACTAGAATTACTGAGATATTCTCTTGTTTTATGATTCTGTGATTCTTTCCAGAGAAGTCTGTTAAATGGCTGAAAATGCTAAATGGTTGCTTTTTAAACTGAACCAATAAAAGGACAGAGTTAAAACTTACCCTGAAATTCTTTTTTTGTTGTTGTTGTTAAATGTTAGATGACAGCAACAATAATATTTTGGTGGGAATGTGTAATAGCTGTAGTTGCCTCCTTTGAGATTTTTTTGAACAATGTAGATGCCCCTGAATTTGTTCTTGATTATGTGGTTTGTTTAAACATCAGTGAAGTTCTTTGTCCACGGTGCTTATAAATAGGAAATGAAGACTTGGTGACACTCCTAGCTTTGTCTACCATTGTTTTTTAAGGTAGAGATTTAAACCTCATTATTTTTGGTAATTTGAAAAAAAGGTCTTTACAAAGCATATGAAAGTATCCTCGGAAAAAATGAGAAAGCTTCATTTTGAAAGTAACATTTTCTTTTTGAAAATAGTATCTCCATGCACCTTTATTCAGTGAGATGATTTAAGTAAATTCAATTCTTTTGATTTTTCAGATACTCTAATTAAACATTCTTTAGCTTTGTGGTTTTGTAATAGCACACTTTCAGGTGTGTGCTTTCAAATGTCTTAATGTTCTAGAGTCTTTTGAAATGTAAAAGGATCCATAAGGAAGTCAAATCCACCAGAAGCATTTTCTTTTCACCTTTTTTGTTTTTCTCCTTAACTCCTTTTTCTCGGGAGCTGGATGATCAGATGGTTGCTTCTGAGGTGAAGCTGAAGCTGAATTTTGCTCTGCATGATCCAGTGTTTTCAAAATCTGATGAAATCTTCCTTCTTGTTGTCTGAAGTCATATTCTACACTATGGAAAAATAAAAACATTTAAGCTAGTAAGTGAGAAATTCCTCCTTGTGGAAAGGATGCTTACATCATAAGAATAATTTGGCAACATTCAGTATTAGAGCCTGGTTAAAACACAAGGGTGTATAGGTTGTTACTTTGAAAATAAATTAATCCCTTAATATTTTCTGAGAGAAAACTTTTTCTTTATATGAGTTAAAATCTCCAGCACTGTTCACAAAACAATGGAACAAAAATTGAGGGAGGAAAAAATGAAAAAGTACTAGGGTGACCTTTCAGTGCATTTGATTCATGTTAGTTTGATACTGTAATCTAACTCAGTTGTATCCTTGGCGTGAATTCAGAACTCTCACACACTTAACTTGGTTAAATGTGAATGTCTCCCACTACAGACCTGCTAGGACCAAAAATATATGAAATTAAGCAATATGTAAGACTTTGACATAAGTGGTATTAGTTGACAGGAAAGTAGAATGTAACTAATTTTCTCTATTGAAACTAATAATTATTATTGATGTCAAATGAGAGCTGAGATGTTAATTACATAAGAGTCGGTATGTGCATGGAAATAAATGTAAGGTTCAAAAGAATCAACGTGGACACTGATTAAGTAGTCTTATGCAACCAGGAGAGTTTAATAAAAACAAACAAACAAAAAGCAGCAAATAAAAAAATGCAGTGCTGTATGTTTTTTCTTTATTTCAACCATCGTTTCTGGGCAGGAGAGTGGGTGTTGTATCAGCTGTATCTGCTGTGGAGGTTTTAGCAGGCAGAGGGGAGAGTAGAAAGGATCTTGTTGTATCTTCCGTAGTGCAAGCTCTTGGGGAGGAAAAGGCTTAAGAGAGGGATATTGGGATGTCACATCAAAGCCCTTAACCTGATTTGGGCACTGAGTAGAAGAAATCTGTAAAATTAGTAAATACAAATATCTTTAAACACTATTGTGAGTATTTGTATGTACATAGAAATCCATAAACATTGTTGACTAGGATGTTAAAATTAACTAGAAGGTTTTTCCCTTTTAAATTAATATGTTTGGGGGTTTTCACTGAAATAACTAACTCAGCTGGCAAAAAGAAAGCCATAGGATTATTCTAATTTAGAACTGAAGAGGGATCTCTGGACAAGGAGCAAAACATAATAGATACAAAAATTAGAAAAAAATTATATAAATTACAAATTTGGTCAGTGTCTCTTCAGTTTTATCAGTCTGTTGCTAAAACTGCAATGTAATGCCTTTCAGCAGTCACAGATCACAATGCTGAAGAGTGAAATGTTTGGTTTATAGCATATTATATTTATATCCTTATATAACATATATAAGGATAGCATCAGCTCGTATTCATTTTTTTTCCCCTTCAAAGTTTCTAATTTCATGTTGAAGACATCATCTCTAGAGGCAGGAGGTCATTTAATACTGTCCCTTATCTGCTAACTGTTTTCAGTTGCTGCTTGCATTTGTTTATTATAATAAAAATATTTATCTTACAGGATCTAGACTGAAAGTTCCAAGTCAGCTAACATAAATCTTCTGGATAGTTAATGAAGCTAAATTTACAGCCACTATTTACCTGGTCACTGTTAGACTGAAAAGCTATTAAATACTAATCAGTGTAATCTACACTTGGATTCATAGGAAATTAGTATATTGTTTGACTCAGGAACTGCTTAAAAAGTTCAAGTTAAAGATGGTTCAGTGATGTAATCCAACATTCTGCTTGTACAGTGTTTGAATCACTGATGAGTTAGGTTCTTTAAGAGCAAGAAAATGGGGAGCAAGACAAAACACTTAATCCTATAATTAGCGACAACAGTGATGCTACAATAGTGGAAAAAATACTTGCATGGATTTTTTATGCTACATAAAACTCAGAAATTGTTGGGTTTGTCTAGAGCAAAACAGGTAACAATTACTTCTTTCAGAATGTTGTCTAATGAATATGTTATGAACTTCAAATACTGATTACTCAGAATGTTTAATCATAACCATGTCTTGTGGAACATCACTGTAAAGTGGAAACTATTGTTCCCTTGCTGTCTCATGTTTTGTCTCTTAAAACTAGAAACTCTTTGGAGGCACTGTTTTCTTTCATATGTATTCTAATACTCATTGCGCCATAAGCCTCCAGGCACTGTTATCATTATAAACTACCTAGTAAATCGAAAAAGCACATCGATGTTTTATTACTTCCTCCATTCTTTTCTTCAGACACTTGTGCTGGTTGTTCAGGATCTTTCCTATATTTAAATTTGACCCGTGTAGAAAATGCAGTGTGAAAAACACTTCCTTGTGGATTCATTGTATCCATTAAAAAAATCTGAAGTCACAGTGCTTACAAACTGGCAAAGATAACAGTCTGTCATATTCTTTGAAATAAAGGAAAAGTTTTCAACCTAAAAGAGAAATTATCTTACCCTTTATTTTTGTACATGTAAACATGTTTAAATATACAAAACCTCTGGAATACTAATATATTCAAATATCTTTGAAGGGATAAAAAATTTCTAGGAGATGTTTCAAATCAACTTCTTAATTTTTCAGTGTCATGTTGAACTTCAGTACCTGATCTTCACAATATGTGACTGGCAAATTCATTTTTCACTGAGCTTCTTAATAAAAATAAACTTTAAAACAGTACAGCACATCAGAAATGTGGTATGTATAGCAAGGAAAACAAGCATGCAGTTTCAGTAATCAGCTCACCAACTGCAAAGTCCTTTAAGTGTCCCTCACAAAAAGGAATCAAGAAACCCAGGATTAAACTAGCAGTATTATAATTTCTCCACTACCTTTGGTTTAAGTACACATTCTCTAACTCTCCAAATGAGGCCTGAGATATCATATGCAAATTTTGACCATGCATTCATCTTCCTATTCATTCTATTAAGTCTGCAGTGTATGGCAGTACTGGAAAGGATTTAAAATGGCAAGTGTGAGCTCCAGCTCTGATTATGCCGTGTTTGTTCAATATGTTACTTAATATCCTGTGAAGAGCCCAATGAATCTTACAGAATCAAATAACTGAAGATGTGTTTTCTGCCTCATAACTGAGGTTGCAGAGATTACAGAATGTGTTTACACGTTGGTGGACGCCCTGTCCCTTGAAGAGTGGACAAGCTACATGTGCAGTATAACCAAGACTTTGTACCTGCTAGCTTGGTGGTTAATGGCGGTGTGTATCCACATGGCATCTGAAACATGTGTGGCTTCTGGAACACAGTACTAGGAAGCTTTTTGGTCATAAGAGTTTAACAAACTACAGATTAAATTTGGAGTAATTTACACTCACATTGCACTCTCTCAATAACAAATAAACATTTACTGAAGTGAGAAGTGTGGGAGTTTAGTTTTTGGCACATAAACATGAACTGCAGTGATAGCTTACTGGCATTTTGGAGAATTGAGTGTTTATGTTTTCCAAGATCTAAATTTATTACAGAAACCCTAGCTTTAAAAACTGTTACACACAAATGGAATTTCTTAATCAGAAATGGTATCAAAGGTTTTCAGAGCATGCTAGTAGTGATAATACTGTGAAACATTAGTGGGAAAATTCTGTTTAAATTCTCAGAAGTATAGTACCTCTTTCAGATCACACCAATATTATTTGTTTTCTGCTTGAGAAAACAAACCAACCAACTCACACATAGTACTTGGTCTCTTGTTAAAAACTGGATTAATAATAAATGAGACCTTTTGTATAGCTGTCAATAAAACATTGTGGTGTACATTTGAGAGATAAACAGACAATGCAAAACTGGGTGAAGGAGTGAAGTACCTGTAAATGATACATGCGGTGTTCTGACAGGTGCTGCAGTTGTTGAGGTCTTGCCCAGTGTGATAGAAGTTACGCCTGTAATAGACAGTAGTTCATGTAATGTGCATTTACAGATACGTTAACAGATCTCTGAATCTTTCACGATAAAAGTAATTCTGTTTGCCACTTCTATTATCCTTACTGAAACTTCTAGTGTGAAATTCTAAATTAGAAGTTTGCTTTAAAGAACTCAAACCCTATGCTGATTGCGCCGTTACGATTCTGGTTGTTGTCTCTTGCATGAGTACTTGTTATGAATACATTTAGACATGTGACTGCTTCTTATAAACACACTTTAAAGTATTGGCATATCAATGTTCATGGTAAATCCATCTGATCTCTATCCTTATGCTTTCAATTCTTTCCCCTTTTCATGTTTCCTTACATAAAAAAGTCAAATATTTACTGCTGATAGCTTACAAATTTGGAGTGTTGAGAAAACAAGAAAAGTGACTTTCATATTTAACATCAACTAGAGTTGAATTATTTTTATGATGGAGAGATCTAAAAACAGTTTGAGGTCTGTGGCTTATTACATCTGAAGGATACACAACACTTATATTTAACGAGTTTTATTTGAATTAGGGGAGTTCAGTTGGTACCAAAATAATTTTCTGATTGCTTTTGGAATTAAAGTAGGGGTTTTCTATATGTGGTGTTGTGCTACTTCCACAAGTACTTGGAATCTTCAATTTTACTGCTAGATGATTCTAGCAAGATGGATTGAAACTCATCATGGAGTCTCAGTGTGAAACTGAAAGACATTTGGCAAAATTTTTGGTTTTGACCATGTGGTAACTGAACAGAAATGGACTGTAAATATTGCTGAATAATCAGACTGTGCTTCACTGCAAGTTAATCTTTGTAATGGCCAGATTTGCAGACATACATAAATACACACAGAGGAAAAGGAGTGGGTATTTTTTCCTGTAATTTTATAAAAAAACATAGTCAGGCGGTACTGGTATGAAATATGAATTGGATTCCACCCCCCCACAACCCCCCATTTGCTTCCAAACAAAATTTTTGTATTTTGGTGTTTTATAAATGTTTTTGCATTTTTGTTATCAGTATGTCTAAATGGATTTTGTTTGTTGTGTCTAGGCTATTACAAAGTTGGTGCTAGAAAATGGCCTTTTCAGATAGAGAAAAATGACTAAGAGCAACCCTCAGAGTGCGTAGTTGGAGCTGAATTATATGGGAAAAATGTTACATGGAATAAAAATTTATGTGGGCACAGTGGAAACTAACAGTATTTTCATGCTAACAGCCAGATGGACATTACTAGTTAATGTTTCTAGATAAAAAAAGTAATCTGTACAGCAGAAAATTACATGTTAACTTGATTTATATTATTTTTATTTTTAAATGAGCATAAATCATACTTGGAGTGTGAGTTGGAGAATTATTCATCAGAAATGCAAGAAGGTAATGTCAATTCTCAAATAAAATACTTTGAGGAAGAAAGAATTCTTCAAAACAGATGTATTTTTCTTCAGAAGTTCTAAGAAAACTGGGGCATATAAAATTGTGGCTTCAGTTAGTTCTATCCTGACAGTTTTTGCACAGCCACACAAACCTTTTCTGTCCACATGGGAACAAGTGCAAAGACCTGGTGCTGAGTCATGTAAGCAAGTTGGTGTCATGTTCTGTGCTATTTCTATGCAATTGGACCTACACAAAAATCTCGATGCAGCTGCCTTTTTGTGATGTTTGCAGTGTTTGTGGAAATGTGGAATATTATCAGTTTTATTCCTTAATTACAGTCAGTAAATACTATTAATACACATGACCTGATTTTAAAATTAAGGATGCAGTTTTATGCATAAACCAGTTGCACATAAATGATTATTCTAGATGCCTAAGATACCTGTGCTAAGTATAAAAGTAATTATAATATAGACTTCATGTTGGTTTATCTTTAAAAAATAAGAATAAAATTGAACCTTTATTCTCTTGATACTTTGAAAGATTTATCTGTGGGTTTTTTGAAGACAAAAATTAATTGATGGATATACTACATAATGAAAAACCAGAACTTTAAAATGTATCCTAGAAGCATTTACTGTAAGTAGGAGCTGCTGTTAATGGTTTGGAAAGCATTATTAGGATATTCTAAAACCTGTTTTGAGCATAGAAATATTTAAAATTCTATTTTAACCTTGTCCTACAAAGGTGGCAAATCTTTAGGCAAAAGTTGCATTTATAGTATTATTTTATAATGCACAAATGAGTTGCATAAAAAAGTTACATAAATAATGCTTGCAGCCTTGGCTAATAGTCACTATGAGAGCATACTAAAAATAAATCCAGGTCATGCATTCTTGTGACAGTATAGAAAGCAGTCATTCTAAAATCTGAGATTCCGAAGTGAGTTCTTTCTAACAGTCTTCACATGCTGTATGTTCATAGTTTTAAGCCTTTTTAAGTACTCACCTCCCATGAAATCTTCCTGACATATTGAAGCTCTTGAAGTTTACCTGGCATTGTCTGTTTTCCTATTCTTAAGGCTTTCCCTTTAAGTGGCTGTGTTGTTGTTTGTGGTATTGTGAAATGTAACTAGCAGTGTGGTACCCAAATGTCTGCAGATGCTATGCTTTAGCTACAAATCCTTTTGCTTACTTATGATGGCAGTAATAATTTATTGAAGAGAAGCATGTTTTTGCTGATATAAACTGTTTCAGCAATAGGACTGCTTTGGCCCTAAATGCATATCTGACTTTGCTAGTAAGAGATAGTTGGCTTGCCATGGGTTTCTGTTATACTGCATCAGTACCTTAGGCTTGGGTTTTGTTTTTCTACTGCGTAGAGATTTTAGCTAGATAAAGACTGCAACTCTCAGTGGCTTTGTACCTGACATCATAAATCTAAATTTAAAAAAGGGAGTTAATAAACTATGTCTCCATTGGTTTTAAATAAAGGCTGTGTCAGCTAAAGCCAAACTATAGAGACTTGTTTCTCTTCTGCCGAGACCCAAATACCAGAAAAAGGGTATAAGATACAATTTTTGCAAACTCATCTTTAAATATCACAGGAAAGACTTTTTTGGTAGCAAAGGTTCAAAGAATGCAAACATGTGCTTTACACTTCTGATAAATTACTAATATTAAAATGCACCGTACCCTTCACTGAGGGCTCTGGATTTTTCCAGGTCTTGGATTACATTCAAAAGGACTTTAATCTTCTCCTGATTCGACTGCAAGGATTCCTCTACAGACTGCAGCCTGCCTTGTAGGGCACAGAGTTCTCCATGTGCCAAATGAATTTTATTTATTTCACTAATCTCTTTGTTGGTTTGTGGTTTTGTTTCATTCCTTGGCAGATAAGACTTTATGTGAAATCCTTCTAAACAGCTGTTACACTGGGAAACATCTGACTGGGTAGAATTTTTCTTGGTTTCAGTCTTACATGACAGAAAAGATTTTGATGCATTACTGCTGGTCAATGACATTATTGTGTGATCATCATTTGTTAATGTCACACAGCTGGAATCTGTTCTGTGCTCTCCTGCCTGTTGATAGTCTCTGAGGAAGCAAGGAGATGAGCTGTGATTTGATGGAGGTGATAATGGAGTAGTTTCCTTACTGCTTGCATCTTTGCTGGCTACCAGCGACTCAGAATCACTTTTATCTGCTTCGCAAGAGTCAGAATGAGGATTACATTCGCTGCAGCTAATAAAATTGCTTAGGCAAGGGTATGCTTTCTCAGAATTAGATGACAGTGTGCTGTTGTCATTATTTTCATTGCTATTTATGACAGTAGAAGAATGCAGTGAATTACTTAAATTTGCAGTTGTGTCTGGTGCATCCATGGAAGCATTGCTGTCCTGTGGAAAACTCACATGTATGTATTCAGGCACCTGTGTGGAAACAGTTGTCTTCTCTGATACTGAGAAATCATCTGAATGGATAGGTCCATTGCTTTGTGCTTTTGATGGTCTTTGACTTAACTGACCATCCACATCACTATTCCTAAATCCATCTTCCAAATGATTAGTTATTCTTAAGTAACAGAGGTCTGAAGACATGTCTTGTTCAGAAAGATTGCCGTTTACTTGGATAGAATTTGCAGGCTCCATTGGCATTTCTGTTAATGATTTACTTACTGTCAACTTTTTCTTTTTAAAAACCGGGAAGTGTTTCCTGAGGCTAGGAGATGTTTGTATGGCAATATTCCGAAACCCTTTTTGAGCCCTTGGAAAAGATGGAGAGTGATGCAGCAAAAAGCTGTGATCCCAAAATATTTCTGTTTTTCCAGTTGTGGATGCTATATCTTGGGCAGGATTAGTATCCAGTTCTGACTTTGTGTTCACACCATCATCCTTGAATCGGACTTGCTGAGATTTGGTCCTGCGGTGGTGTGGCTCTCTCATAAAATCAGCAGAATCTAGACTATTCCTTTTCAGTAGCACTGGACGCATTTTCATGTTTTGCTGGGCCATTGAATCGCAATTTAAAGTCTGTAAGTACCGTGTTTCTTTGCGGCCCATTTCATTTGTCATTTGAACTGTATATTAAGATTATTCCTAAGTTGCAAATGAGTACCTTACTCCTGAGGGAGCTAAACTTTTCATTCTTCTTGTTGTTACTATGTATACTTTTAACTGACATGCTCTCTTTAGGGATGCTCTTTCAAATTTAATTGCTGATTAGATCAAACACTAAGATAAGGAAATTAAATATCAAATTTAAGGAAAGATTTCTTGTAGCTGGGGAATGCAGAAATCCTTGTGTTTGGAAGCTAACATGATCATCTTATTGCAACAGGCTGTTAGGCTTACAGTTAACGAAGGTAAGTTTGAGTGTATGGCTTTCCTGATGGCTATTTGACAGTCAGCTCTCCATTTGTGTTGCAGCTTTTTTTATGATGGACCAGTCACATATGTTGTATTTGCATGTTGTCTAAACAACAAGCATAATAACTTTTAGGGGCATTTTCATTTCTGTTGCATAGTTTTACTGCTGGAATATATACATAAATACCAAACTGAATTGCTTTCTTTAGAGAGATTTTTTCTTCTTCAGCCATCTTTTTAATGAAACTAATCTTCCCAAACAGTTAAGCAAAATGTAACCGCTTCTGACCAGGCAAAAAGACAGCATCCAGTGGCTTTCAGTGAGAGAAGTTATCGATGTGTAGTTGTTACTTCAGTTCGTGCAATCATATCCAAAGGACTGTTTCATTTGGGGAAGTTCTGTAAATACATTGGCATCAGAAGAGTGGTCCAGACTGAATAACCAGCAAATGCAGAACAACAGGAAATGTTTCCTGAAAGTAAAAAGACAACAGTTGTAGATGAATGAACTGCCAAACACTAATCTTCTGCTGTCCCCTAACAACTTTTCATCTCCATTGGTTTAGTAGTTTTGGCAGTGAAATACTTGTATAGAAACTGAAAAATGGTTTATAATTTTCAAGTGCCTAAACTTTTCTTCACGTGTAATACACAAGACCAAAAATGGATAGAAAATATTCAGAGGAGTATTTTTTTCTTTCAGTACTCATGCAGGCCTGAATCTGGTCCCAAATATAAACCATAAAACTTAAATCTTCATATTTAAAAATGGGTATTAAATCTTGTGGGTGAAATAAAAAACTGAAGAATACAAATGTGAGTTCTTAATTCAGAGGCAAGTTGAGGTTTGAACCAAACTCAGAATTTTTTTGAGTTGCTCATTTTAAAGCATTCAGATTTGTGTACAACTCCTGGTTAAGGAGAAATAAATTTAATTTTAAATGTGATTAATGCAAATGGAACCCTGTCTGGGAAGACAAAATCTCTTTCCCATGCAGTATCAATTATTTGGAAATCAAGACTGAAATTGTCTGCACGTACATGTGAAGTGTTCTACTCTGTTTGCGTGCAGGAGACTGGCCTATAAAGCTGTGGTTTGTCACATTAGTCCTGAGCTCATAATGAAAAAACAACATTAAACATTTTGAGTGACCACTAAAACTTAGATTTCTGAAAAACAGTTAGGATAATAATATACCCATAATGATTATGTATTAGGAAGACTGGCGAAAAGTAAGAGAGCATATTTTATTACAGAGCCAGCTGTTATCAAAAGTTTACTTGCAAGTATTTTAGGTTTTTTCAAGTGTAATAAAACAACTAATTTTTTTAATACCCCCAAAAATAAAACTTTGACCCATTTGTCACAGCTGGCACTTTAATTATGAGAATGTTTGCCTCAGAGACATTTTATTCACAGATTAAGATGCAATGAGCATTGGCCACTTTCAAGTTGTCTTTAAGAAACAGTATTATTTGAAATTTGAAGTGTTAATGAATTGTCCCTCCAAATGCAGATTATGGATGGAATACCAGGATGGATCATTTGTAAATTTGTGCCCCAGTGTACACATGGATGATTCCTTTAAAATAGGCAGCCACACCCATGATGTGTTGACTGGTGGCACAAGAGGGTACAGCATGGACATGTCACAGTGTGTTGCTAATGAAAATGTGATGTAATGGAGCTGCAGTAAGAGAATATAAAGGCAGTAAAAGTGAAAGCTTAAGTCTTCAACTTCACCCCTGTGAGTAAGCAGTTTCACACATGACTAGCAATCACATAGGCTAAGACTCATCTTATGTCAAAATGTAAGTTACTTTGATATAATTTTTTTGGCAACCTTTCTGTTACAAATTTAGGTTCTGTTATGGCTTCCTGAGATATGACATATAGGTGAGTGTATGCCATATATAGTTTGTTCAAATTATGTACATTTAACTTCTGTATATTATATCCAGGACTTCTCACTCCATGTTTCTACAGTCTTAAGGATGGTTTTGCTGTTTCTTATCTAAATAACCTGTGTAATAGACTTCCCCACAAATGTGAATTCTCGTACTCAAATCATTCCAGAATAGTTTGAGCCAAAATTCAGTATAAGCAATGACTAGTGCTGGACTAGTAGTAGATTTTGAGTACTGGATTTCAAAAATTCATGAGATGTGCCTGTATGAAAATATTTTTTCTGTGTTATTAGTAAGTTATGACAAATCTGAACCCAGCTGCTAGAATAGTGATAAAAGGAGAAATTTATGAAAAAAATGGGAAATATTCTGTGGCATTTTTCATAATCCAGCATAGTTTGCTTTTAGGATTACAGTAATTTTTAGGACTGGGGCTAAATTCCCATCATAGTGTTTTCTATTTACTATTAATTTACTATTAATCCTGTTCCCTGGTAATTCACTGGTGGTTTGATTAGCCTTACTACTTCCATAGTGTACCTTTTGTTTAAGCATTTCACAAACTTTACCATATTTAATTTACAAGAATTGATGAGAATGGTGCCATGGGAAAGATCTTGTTATAGAACATAGCAAACTGTTATGTAGCCTCATGCAACATTTAGGAAATGTAATATAATTTAAGCAACGTAATAATAGGATATTATTATATTATCAAGTTTTAGAAGAAAATGTGTGGATGATTTCAGTGCAGAAAGGAATGTTGCATAAGATATTGAGGAAACAAATCTGTACATTAATACCAAATTTTACTTACATGATATGCTAGCATTAATTCACTTAAATCATTGTACTGCTTCTTCACTGGAGACAAAGTATACACAATAAACTAGTCAAACAATTTCTCCAGATAAAGTTCCAATGCCAAGCTCTGAATTCTCATATCATCCACTAATTACTGGAGGCTTTTTACAGTTTTGTTTGAGAATTTATCCAAATCTTGCAGTAGCATTCTTCCCTTCACAGCTGCTCTGCTTCAGGCAGATAGACTACTTTAAAAGTTACACTTGCCCAATTAAATTTGGAAAGAATTAGAAATCTACTCCTTTGTGTCTTAAATGTGAGTTAAAAACCCTTAAGGGTTTTAAAAGGGCTCTCTACTTTGGCTGTAGAGGCATGTAAGCTAGGTTCTTGCATTCTTCATTTGCAAATTGCTATTCTAATTCTGTGTGATTTTTAACTATCTTGGCATCCACTAGTTTGGGGTTCAGATGAATTGCTGTAATGAAAGTTTTGATGCTGTTATTTATATTAAATCAAGCTGAAATAAAAAAAAAAATATGTATATAGGTAGGAATGCTCAAATATTTGGATTGAGAACCCAACTAGTGAGTTTCAGTGTTACAGGTGTCTGTGTGTACCTTAACAAATCAGTGTAACACTGTCAGTTACTAAGTTTAAATAACATTTCCCTTGTCCAGGATAAAATTTTTCATTCTTTTCTGGCACAGCAGTTTGCAGGTGGTCTTTTGCTTATTTCACATTGATTGGACAAGTACGAAAAATTCTAAGGATCTGTTTTATAGAAATTCTTTCAATGTATTAATTCAACTTATGTCACTCATAACAAAAAACATATGTCAGTTTTAAATTTATGTCTTGTAATAATACTAGCAGTTTTAGTAGGAGAAATTTACTGGGGATTAATGTCTGCCAGGGTCCCATGACCTCACATCCAGCTATCCAGCCTCTTCCTCCTCATCTCTTCCCTGGGTAGCTTGCTCATCACATCCCAGGAAATGCCTTGTGCCTCGGTTGTTTTGCTTAATTAGCACAGTGGATTTGTTCCAATCTCTTTAGTCACTGTTGAAACAAGTGGCCTACTAGGTTAATGTTATTTTTAAATGGTGCATATTTGATGCTCCTCTCTTCATTGGTGTGATTATGTGAATGACTGATAGATATGACTGCTTTTTTTTTTTTTTTTTTTTTTTTTTTTTTTTTTTTGCTTGGCTTATATTGGTAAAAACAATCTTGATTTTTAAACTCTCTACAGGCTTTGCACCCGTATTTTGTAATAGTGATAGTTACTTTCCAGTGTAAATTTGTTCTAGCTCCAGTGTAATTGTATTCCAGGGTGTAATAAGTGAATGGCCTGCAAATGGCTAAGGTGCAAAGTCTGCCACCTCAAAAGAGCAATGGAACAGGTTTTCCAACCAGTGGTGTTTCTGAGTTCTAGAAATGCATGCACAGTTTTGTTAGCCAACCAAGCAGAGGAAATTTTACCACAAGAGAGATTTTTTAATCATTATTCTTCCATATTTCCTTCCTCTGCCTTCCTGATTTCTTGAAGAGAGTCAAACACATTTTTTGGTTCATATTTCAGTTTAATGACTGAAGCTGCTGTTGGTAGAGGAGAGAATCTGGTAAATGGAGATATGAGATAATGGATGAAGTGAAAAAACATGTAGCAAAGGGCAGTGGGGATTCTGGAAGAGTGCAGATGTGCAAGTGGTGGTTCTGGTGGTTTTCTGCAGTTTGTGGAGAAAGTTAAATATTTGACATGGTTTTCAAATTAATTTCATTGGAGTTTGACACATTAATTTTTCATTTTACTAGTTTGACCAAAAAAAAAGTACTGGTTTTCCTTGTAATGAAAGTGTAACACATTTGTAGTAATTTGCTTTTCTTTTATGCATGTATTAAAGCCAGTATTTCTCGAAAAACGAGTTTGGACAAACCTTTTTCAATAAATAAATAGTCAGTAGGCTAAAAGCATTTTGGAGGGCTTTCAATAGGAAGATGATTAATGTAATTTACTTTGTGCTTTTGAGCATCAGAACTTTAAACTTTCTGATGTACTCTAAATTTTTGCCACTTCCGTTGATCTATCTACCAAAGATTAAACAGCAAATGAATTCAAACATTATAGGTACAATGATAGTTGACAGAGCTGTAATAACCGTAAGATAATATATTAGACTGAGTAGTTTTGTGTCATGTCTGATTTGTCTTTTATCCTGTATAATACAGATTTTCTATGATATGCTGCTAGCTGGACATTTTCATTTTAAAGACACATCTTGATTTATTTAATTATGGTTTGTGTTTGATAATAAGCTGTTTCCTACATTGGAGAATCATGATCCTCAGTTTAGAATAAATTTGTGTGACTGTCACAACCTTTGATGTTGCAAGTCTTTCTGATATGCCTAATCTATTGATGGAACAAGGGGCTGCGTGTGTTGTGGCCATTCTGAACTGTGTGCTTGCTGGAGGGCTGGATGACAGACTAAACACTGCAGAGGACTCGTTCCATATACAGGTTCAACCCTGACTCTCAAAAAGAAAATTCAGTGTCTGAAACGAAACTTTTTTCATTAACAAGTATAAATTTGTGCTTTAAGTGTGTTGGTTTGGATGTCAGTTGTCTTCATGTTCATTTGCTATCTCTGTCAGGAACTTTGACAACAGATGTTAGCAAAGCTGTTTAATTTAGCTGTATCTCTACTTTTTATCAAGCTTGTGTTGGCTTTTTTCCTCAAAATAATGAGAGATGTTGAGG